ATTACTACATTTCCTTTGATACGCATAGCCTATCCAATGGGTCCATTTTCTCCATCTGCCACGTGTCCCTTTGACTGAGTGAAAAACGTGTAGTCCAAATCATTTCCCATTTCTCTTTCTTTCTCTTCACTTCCAATCGCCGGAACCCTAGTTCCCAGATCGTCGCCTGCAACTTCTTCATTTACGGCCGAATCCACAACAATTCCCCTCCGATCGAGAGATCCTTGCCCACAAGGATCAAAAGTTGGAAACTTGCGACGGATAAAGCTCGCGTCTTCCCAAGAAGTTGAGTGACGACCAGTACCGGCCCACCTGATCAGGATCTGTTCCACCGGCATTCTTCCCCTTTGAACCATTCTTTGCCCCAACCGTTCTAAAGGCTCGATTTTGAAGTTGCCGTCTGGGTCTGTTGTGGGAAGTTCCTTTTCAGGTATATGGCTGGTCCCTATGCATTTCTTAAGTAATGAGACATGAAAAACGGGGTGAATCTTGGATTCCTCTGGTAGGTTGAGTTTGTAGGCTACAGCTCCAATTTTTTCCAGAATTTCAAATGGGCCAAAATATCTTGCTGAAAGTTTGATGTTTTTTCTCAACACAACTGAGTTTTGTCTAAAGGGTTGGAGTTTTAGATAGACCCAGTCCCCAACTTCAAATGCCCTTTCTTGCCTGTGTTGATCAGTGTATTGTTTCATCCTTGCTTGTGATATGTGCAAATTCTCCTTGATTTCTTTGAGTAATTGTTGCCTGTTATGCATGAAATCCTTGGCTTCTGTGTCTTGAGCACCCACATAGTGTTCTAAGGACAGGTTAGAGGGTTGATACCCATAAAGGGCTTTGAATGGGGTCATTTTGATGCTGCTTTGGTAGTTTGTGTTGTACCAATACTCAGCAAGTGATAGCCAATCAATCCACTTCTTTGGATGGCTGTGTGTCATGCACCTTAGGTAGTTCTCTAGGCACTGGTTGAGTCTCTCAGTCTGCCCATCAGTTTTTGGGTGATAGGCAGAGCTCATGTCTAAGGTTGTTCCCATGAGTTTGAACAGCTCCTTCCAAAAAGTGCTTGTAAAAATCTTGTCTCTATCCGAGACTATGCTTGCTGGTTGACCATGTAGCTTGTAGATTTGGTCTAGGAACACCTGGGCAATGGACTGAGCAGTGTAGGGGTGAGATAATGCCACAAAGTGGGCATATTTAGTAAACCTGTCCACCACAACTAAAATGACAGTCTTCCCTTTAGAGTTAGGAAGGCCCTCTATGAAATCCATGGAAATGTGGCTCCAAGCCTGCTCTGGGATGGGCAAGGGTTGTAGGTACCCAGGATAAGCACCAGGACTTGATTTACTTCTTGCACAGACTTCACACTCTTTTACCCATTTGATGACTTCTTGTTTCATCCTGGGCCAATAAAAATTCCTATACAATCTGGAATAAGTGCCATGAATTCCAGAATGTCCCCCATAAGCTGTATCATGAATCTCTGTCACAATGCTCCTCTTCAGTTGAGGATTATTCCCAATCACCAACCTGCCCTTGTATCTAATGAGTCCATTTGTAATAGTGAATTCAGGGTAGTTAGTGGGGTCCACAGCCTTGCTAGTAATCAGTTTAGTTGTGAATTCATCTCCTTGATAGCTATCTAGCACCTGCTGCACCCACTTAGGCAGTGCCACTGAAACAGCCATTAGAGTTTCTTCCCTGTTTCCCCTCCTCGACAAGGCATCTGCAGCTCTATTTTCAGCCCCCTTCCTGTATTGGATTTCATAGTCCAATCCCAACAACTTGACCATCCATTTCTGCTGCATGACAGTGCTGATTTTTTGATCCATCAAAAACTTTAAAGATTGCTGGTCAGTTCTTATTATGAACCTTCTTCCCTGTAGGTAGTGTTTCCACTTCTGCACAGCCATTACTACTGCCAAAAACTCCCTTTCATAAATGGATAGAGCTTGATTTCTTGGACACAACACCCTACTCATGTAAGCTATAGGCCTGCCCTCCTGCATCAGCACTGCTCCAACCCCACTTCCACTTGCATCTGTCTCCAATACAAATTCCTTAGTAAAATCAGGTAAGGCTAATACTGGAGCTGTGGTCATAGCCCTTTTCAGGTCATTGAATGACTGTTCTGCCTCTGGTCCCTATAGGAACCCATCTTTCCTGAGGAGCATGGTCAAAGGTCTGCTAATTTGCCCATAATTCCTGACAAATTTTCTGTAATAGCCAGTCAACCCCAAGAACCCTCTCAATTGCTTAACTGTAACAGGGGTTGGCCACTTTAACATGCTCTCAATCTTGTCTAGGTCAGTAGAAACTCCTTCTTGAGTGATGATGTGTCCTAGATATTCCACCCTCTCTTGACCAAACTGGCACTTGCTCATTTTTGCATACAGTTTATGTTTCCTTAGTAGTGACAAAACTTTATCTAGTTGTGCCAAATGAACCTCTCAGGTAGGGCTGTAAACCAATATGTCATCAAAAAACACCAACACTGATTTCCTCAGCTGCTCCCCAAACACCTGATTCATTAATGATTGGAATGTGGCAGGAGCATTGCACAGCCCAAATGGCATTACCAAAAACTCATAGTGACCACTATGTGTCCTGAAAGCTGTATATTGCCTGTGTTCAGGTGTGACCAATATTTGAAAATAACCAGCCCTTAGGTCAATTTTGGAGAAGTACCTTGCCCCATGCAGCTCATCTAGGAGCTCATCAATGATAGGAATAGGATAACTGTGCTTGATAGTGAGTTCATTTAGATATCTGTAATCAACACACAATCTCCAAGTGCCATCTTTTTTCTTAACCAGGATAACAAGTGCAGCAAATGGGCTCTTGCTGTTTTGGATAATTCCAGAGCTCATCATCTCTTTAATTATTTTTTCTATTTCCTCCTTGTGGCTGTGAGAAGTTCTATAAGGGAACTGTTGTTTTGGCATGCTATTGGGTTTCAAGGTAATTTGATGCTCAATTCCCCTCTCTGGGGGCAGTCCTTGAGGTTCTATGAACACATCTTCATAGGAACCTAATAAATCCTGTAACTCCTTTGGGGAAGGAGTACCACTGGTCTGGGTAGTAATCACATAGGCTGCTTCCAACTGTGAGTTCATCTCTTGGTGTGTGAGTTTGTATAGGGAAGTGGCTGAAATAAGTCTGCACTCTGCACTTGAGGTTAAGGCTTGGATCTTGACTTTCTTCCCACTTAACTTCACAGTGACTGTCATGCGGTCATAGTCAAATTCTACTGGGGTACAGGACTTTAACCAGTCACCTCCCAGTATCATGTCACACCCCTCTGTAGCCAATAGTCTAGGAGAGTAGGTAAACTTCTGCCCCTGTGTCTCCCAGGTGAAATTGTTGACCTTCTGAGAACTGATCATTCTTTGGCCATTGGCCACCTTTACTAGAATAGGTTTAGCTTCCCCTATATCACAACCCAACCTCTTGGCTGTTTTTTCTTGAATGAAGCTCAAGGTGCTGCCAGTGTCAATGAGAATGTGAAGCTTCTCTTGGCCAGCTAGCCCACACACCCTCATTGTGGTTAACCCATCCTCACCAGTTATGGAATTCAATGTCATGTGCACTTCTTCCAACTGTTCCCCATCCCAAAAATTATCTGCACCAACATTTATCCCATTAAGTTCTTCTTCTTCCTCTGTCATGATCATGTAGGTGATCCTATTTTTGCACCTATGCCCATAACTGTAAGGCTCATCACAGTTGTAACAAAGCCCCTTTTCCCTCCTAGCTGTCATTTCAGCAGAGGTGAGCAGTTTCATAGGTGGTCTGGGGTTGTTGGTTTTGTGTGGTTGATTCGGGTTTTGCTCCATCCTCCTTGTGGTTTGCTGTGATGGAAAAGAAGGTCTATTAGGAGGCTTGAATTTCTTTGAGATAGCATCCAGGGTATATAGTTGTTTCCTCCCAAGTTCTATGGTTTGCTGCAGTGACTTAGGATCAAACATAGTGATAAAGGACTGTAGTTCTTCACTGAGTCCACTTATAAAACTAGCCACAAAGTATTCCTCACTGTACTCAGTCCCATTAGTCAACAACATGCAAGCTTTCAATTCTTCAAACTTGTCTACATAATCACTATAAGTACCAGACTGCCTGAGTTTGTTAAATTCTGTTATGATTTTTGCTTCCCTCAGTTCTTCAAACCTTGCAGATACTACTTCTAGGAATTGACCCCAAGTTAACTCACCCTGTTTGGATATAAAATTCTGGTACCATAAGGCAGCCTTGCCTTCAAGGTGCATGGAGGCCAAATGCACCTTCTGATTTTCTGGGATATTTGGTACCAGCTTAAAATAGGTGTTGCATTTGAGAATCCAGGATCTAGGGTTGTTTCCATCGAACCTTGGGAAATCCACCTTAGGCATAGGGCTGAAAACATGAGGTTGAAACTGCTCTGTACTGCTTCTTTGCTGAAATGGTGAGTGTGTTGTTTTTTGTGAGCTGTGACCATCTTTGAATGGCCCTAGTATTGATTCATCTCCTGTGCTATTTTTTGTAAGGTTTAGTAACTGTAATTGAATTGCTGCCATGGTGTCTGTCAGGTGATCGTATTTGCTGGTGATATCTGACAATTTATCCTGCATCTTGAGCTCAGCAGCTTCCCTTTTCATGGCTTCAGTCTGTAGAATTTGGTCGACACGTTTCTGTGCCTCCTGAAGTTCTTTGAGTCTCGTGCCTTCTGCCATGGCCGAGGATCGACTGCTCTGATACCAATTGTTGTGTTTCCTAATTTTTTTGTATTTTTTTCTGATATTTCATACTGAGAATTGATAGAGGAGTTGGATTGGGGAAGAAGAGAGCTTAGAGAGAGAGAGAATGATGAGAGAGAAAAGAGAATATTATGGTTGTAACTTGCTTTCATTTTCATTCCCTGCGCCACTTAAATATGGCCCACCATTACATTAATTGCTCATCACATGTTTCTCACTACTATGAAAGTAATGCATTAATTAAATTACTACATTTCCTTTGATACGCATAGCCTATCCAATGGGTCCCTTTTCTCCATCTGCCACGTGTCCCTTTGACTGAGTGAAAAACGTGTAGTCCAAATCATTTCCCATTTCTCTTTCTTTCTCTTCACTTCCAATCGCCGGAACCCTAGTTCCCAGATCGTCGCCTGCAACTTCTTCATTTACGGCCGAATCCACAACACCAATATACTTTATCAAGTTTTGCAAGCTTTCCGAACATACAAAATGATAAAATACACAATGCTGAAAATTATAAATGAAACGAGAGTAAGAGAAAAGTGAAGAAAAGCCTCGGAGAGAAGAGAACTGAAATTCTACTCACTTGGAAAATAGCATGTAACATTACAGATGTGCTCTCAGAAGTCGGAAATGTTTAATTTGCAACGAAGTGTTTAATTTGCGACTAAAATAAAGCGCAAGGGCCNCATCTATTCCCCGTTTTCGCCTTTTCCTAATTTCCTAAGATTAATAAAAGGCCGAGTAAGATGCCATTTTCTATTATCTCCTAACAACATAAAAACGTTGACCATTAGTTCCTCAACTTGTTAAAGACACTTTGATCTCCTCAAGTCTTCTTATCAGTCTAAACTGCCTTCTTAGGGACAATCTTTTCGAATCGACCAGACGGCGCAGAAATGCCATGACCTAAGGCATCATAAGCGATGTTTTCAATAACAATTAAGCTAAAAACAACTTATAATTTGGTATATAATTATGTAAATAAATCTATTATATCAAAAAATAAAAAATAAAAAACAACCTCAGAAGGTTCTCGCAACGAATACAACGCATTTGTATCTTTAGGATTCTTGGAAACTAGAATTCCAAAACCTTGACCCCTCTCTTTTAGCACCTATAATTAGGTTTAAGACAAATCAAAATTACAAGTTTATAAACACAACAAAATCCATTAAATAATGATATATATGTTTGAATTTGGTATATATACCTTAAATGCATCTTCATCCGTCTTATCATCTCCTATGTAGACCGGAAAAACATCGGTGCAATTGGCGTAGCCTATATATATATATATATATATATATATATGCAACATGATTAATGCTTAATTACATTTTAATTATAATTAAAGTCATGGTGCACGTTGAGTATATAAATCCTTGTATAGTTATACTTACCAAGTGATTCCAAGAGAAACTCAAGAGCCTTGCCTTTGTCCCACTTGATGGTGGGCCGGATTTCAAACACCTGCATTAGTTATAAAATCCACAAACTAGAACTGAGACAAACTACTTTTATAGCTAAAAACAAAACTTTTTTGAAGTATATTATTGAACGTACAACCCATCATAGCTTGTCCTATATGGCAACTTAAACAGTGTACCGAACTGTTGCACAATAAGCTTGTATTTTTTTCTTGGTTTTTTAAATATTACCTGAATATAATTAGATCAACTGCTTATGAACTTTCAAACATCAAATTAATAAGAATTCACATGATGAAATAACTATTGTTATTTCTTGAGTGTCAAAATACACGGGAATCCTACGAACTGATATGTATTTTTCAGTTCTTACAAATAATCTAAAATAGAAAATTAAAATTGAACTGAAAAAATAAATTACAACTGAAAATAAATTAAAACTTAAAAAACAAAACGGAAAGATTAAAGCCGAGGCGAGTAAACTCTTTCCGCAAGAAGAATACGCTCCGTGTGTTGCTAACAGTTCAGGCGTAACTTCCCCAAAGATACAACGGCAAACGTTTCTAAATCTGTAGCACACCAGATTTACGAGCTCCGGCGAACTGGAACGGAGTCGAGAATTGAGCATTTAAAAATAGAGATAAAAATATCACTCTGACAATTTTTTCCTCTATTTTTATCCCTCAAATATTTTTCGGACTGAATATTTTTCTCTCTCTCTCTTTCCTATCTTTCTCCTTTTCTTTCTTCTCTTTTTTTCTCTCCTTTTCTTGTGCATTTTTCCTTCTGTCGAGCCCCTCTATTTATATTGAAAGCAGAGGCCTTGTTGCCAACAAATTGCAATTAAAATATATTTTTTTTAATTCAATGAGGAAGTGGGCGGTGGATCTTGGATCTCTAACCCAATTTTTAATTTTTTTTTAATTAGAGAAAGTGGGGCGGTGGATCCGCCCCTAATTTACACTTTCACACACAACTATTACGTTTCTTTATATAAGTAATTTAGTAAATAAATGTACAGCATCAGTTAATAAAGAATGTATTGGTGGATAATAACGTACCTTTCTTCCTTGAGTCAATCGCAGGTTTGGATAATCTCGAATTACATATTCAACTTGTTTAGCTAATTCAATCCACTTCTGCATTTTATTGCAATAAAATTAATTAGTTTTCTTTTTGGTATTAATTATTCAACTTTGGATTTATAAGTGTTTACATTTGAAGCGGCCCACACTTCACACTTATATAGGTGACCTCCCTATCAAGAGTATCATGTATTACTCCACCTTTACAAGGTTAGGGATTCATTAAAAGTCCACTTCACTTACCCTCACCACAATCAACAGGTCATTTTTCACTTGGAGTGCTCTAGGGAATAGCTTAGGACATTCATATGTTTCAAGTGCTCAACTGAATTTTCATAGCTTAGTTTTCCCTTTGAACCAAGTTTGTGCGATCTCCACTTAGCATGGTAGGGTTACCACTATGATCATTCTTTACATTGTGGATTTTTAAGTTCATTCCCTCTAGCAAAACTACCAATTGATCTCTATTCAATCCTTTCGTCAAAGGATCAGCCAAATTTCCTTAGACTTCACATAGTCAATGAAAATAACACCATTGGTGATCAATTGGCATACGATATTATGTCTACGACGAATATGTCTAGACTTACCGTTATACAAGTTGCTTTGTGCCCTTCCTATATCAGCTTGGCTATCAAAGTGAATCATCACAGGCGGCAAAGTCTTATCCCAACATGGAATATCAGATAAAAAATTTCTAAGCCACTCGGCTTCTTCACCAGCTTTATCTAAAGCGATGAACTCCAATTCCATCGTTGACCGAGCTATACACGTTTGTTTTGTGGATTTCCACAAAACTGCACCTCCTCCAATACAGAAAACATATCCGCTAGTGGAGCGAGAATCTTTCGATTCTGATAACCAGCTTGCATCACAGTACCCTTCAAGTACAACTGGGTATCTCGAGTATTTTAGCCCGTATTCAAGGGTGTACCTCAAGTACTTAAGTACCCTTTTCAAAGCATTCCAATGCTCATGACTGGGATTGCTCGTAAATCTACTCAACTTATTCACCGGATAAGCCAGGTCTGGTCGTGTACAATTCATCAAGTACATCAGACTCCCTATTATCCGTAAATATTCCAACTGAGCCACTGGTTAACCTTTACTGGCTGCCAGATTTATACTAAGATCAAGGGTCGTCTTACACCTAGACTGTGTACCGTCATAGGCATCAAATTTCTTAAGCACTTTCTCTACATAATGAGATTGTGACAAGACAATTCCATCTTGAGTTCTGATAATCCTTATTCCAAGAATAACATCAGCCAAACCCATATCTTTCATGTCGAAATTTCTTTTCAACATTCTTTTTGTATCCATGATCATTTTATGGCTACTCCACATGATCAACATATCGTCTACATATAGACATACTATCACAAATGTATTTAATGTACTCTTGATATAAACACATTTGTCACATTCGTTGATTTTGAAATCATTTGACAACATCACGTCATCAAATTTCAAATGCCATTGTTTCGGAGCTTGTTTCAGTCCGTACAACGATTTGATTAATTTACACACCTTTCTCTCTTGTCCAGGTACAACAAACCCTTCAGGTTGTTCCATGTATATTTCTTCTTCCAATTCATCATTCAAAAATGCCGCCTTGACATCCATTTGGTGAATCTCGAGATTGTGCAAAGCAGCAATCGAGAGAAGCACTATTATCGACGCTAAACGTGTAACTGGTGAATAGGTATCAAAGAAATCATACCCTTCCTTTTGTTTAAAGTCTTTGACCACCAAACGTGCTTTAAACTTATCAATCGATCCATCAGCTTTATATTTGTTCTTTAAGATTTACTTGCATCCTAAAGGTTTACAACCCTCAGGGAGATCAACCAACTCTCATGTATGATTTTGCATAATAGACTCGATTTCGCTATTTACAGCTTCTTCCCAGAGTGGTCCATTTGGGCTGGACAGAGCTTCCTTAAGGGAACTCGGTTCATCGTCCAACATATACGTAATAAAATCAGGTCCAAACGTTTTGGCCGTTTTTATCCTTTTACTACGTCTCGGTTCTTCATTAGTACCTTCTGGTACAGAACCACTAGCAGTTTCATACGTTCGTTTATTAGAACTAGATTCTGCTCTTTCCTTCAGAGGAAAAATATTCTCAAAGAATATAGCATTCCTCGACTCAATCGTGGTACCAACAGATACCTCTGGATTTTCTGATTTATGAACCAGAAATCTATATGCCGTACTATTGTACGCATATCCAATAAATACACAATCGACCGTCTTTGGTCCGATTCTCATTTCTTTGGGTTCTGGTACTGAACCTTAGCCAAACACCCCCACACTTTCAGGTATTTATAAGACGGCTTACGATTTTTCCACATTTCGTAAGGAGTCTCATTTTTCCCTTTAGGTGGTATTTCATTCAGGATATGATTTGCTGTTAAAACAGCTTCCCCCACATGTTCTGTGGCAATCCTGAATTTATGAACATGGCATTCATCATTTCTTTTAAAGTACGGTTCTTGCGTTCAACAACACTGTTTGACTGTGGAGAATAAGGGGCCGTCGTTTGATGAATTATGCCATATTCAGAACATATTTGTTCAAAAGGAGATACATACTCACTACCCCTATCACTTCGGATTATTTTAATCCTTTTGCCGAGTTGATTTTCAACTTCGGTCTTATAGATTTTAAATGCTTCTACAGCCTCGTCTTTGCTTCTTAATAAATATAAGTAGCAAAACCTTGTGCAATCATCAATAAAAGTAATAAAATACTTTTTACCCGTTCTTGTTTGCACACTTTATCACATACATCAGTATGGATTAAGCCCAATGGTTCAGTACTTCTGTCCACCAATTGAAAAGGCAACTTAGCCATTTTTGCTTCAATACAAATCTAACATTTCTTATGTGATTCAAATTTAGAATTAGAAATTAATTCTAAATTCATCAACCGTTTAATTGCATTTAGATTTACATGTCCCAATCTAATATGCCATAAATCAGAGTACTCAACGGTATAAACAGAAATAGGCTTTTCATTATAATTTAAGACAGTTACACGGCTCACGGCCATTACATTCATTTTGAACATACTCTTGTCAAGATAGCCACGACCAAGGAAAGTTCCAAACTTGCTAAGAACAAATTTCTTAGCATCGAATACCAGAATAAATCTATGCTCAACAAGAAGAGATCCGGAGACCAAATTCTTGCAGATGTCTGGGACATGCAGAACATCCTTAAGCTTCAACTCCTTTCTAGAAGTCAGCTTCAGCACCACAGTGCCCACTCCAGCCACATCAGCCGTGGCTGAGTTAGCCATGTAAAGTTTCCGACTCTTAGCAGGAGTGTATTCAGAGAACACCTCCTTATCGGAACATACATGACGAGTGGCACCAGTATCGATGTACCACTCACTTGGGTTATCCACCATATTGGCTTCAAACACCACTGCCGACATATCAAAGTCGGTCAGTTCACCCGGCACAGGGCCGTGTTCAGCCACAAGGGCACTAGGTTGCCCTTTCTTTGGCCCAGCCTTCTTTGGCCTCTTGCAGTCTTTTGCCATATGGTTTGGCTTTCTACAGTTGTAGCAGGTTCCAGTAAACTTCCAAACCTTGGCAAACTGCTTCCCTTTGTCAAGGGACTTCCTCTTGCTCGAGTGGCCTTGCTCCAGCAAGTTAGCACGAGACTCTATCATCGGAGTCTTCGCCGATGAATTACGGTTGTCCTCCTCAATACGAAGACGAACAACCAGGTCTTCAAGACTCATCTCCTTCCTCTTATGTTTGAGGTAGTTCTTGAAGTCTTTCTAACCCGGTGGCAGTTTTTCAATCACAGCCGCAACTTGGAATGACTCGCTTAGAGACATTCCTTCAGCATGGATATCGTGCAAGATGAGTTGGAACTCTTGCACTTGTGACACAACGGTCTTAGTGTCAACCATTTTGAAGTCAAGAAATTTGCCGATGATGAATTTCTTCGCCCCGGCATCCTCAGTCTTGTACTTCTTATCCAAAACAGCCCAAAGCTCTTTGGCAGAACCAACAGAGCTGCACACATTGTACAACTCATTACTAAGTCCATTCAGGACATAGTTACGGCAAAGGTAATCACCTTGCCCCCATGCTTCGTACGCAGTGCGTAGTTCAGCATTGGTTTCATTTTCAGCTATGACCGGGGGGTCGTCCTTTAGGTATTTCACCAAACCCAAAGTGGTCTGGTAAAAATGCATCTTTTGTTGACACCTCTTGAAATCAAGCCCATTGAATTTTTCAGGCTTCTCAGCAGTAGGGACATGGACAACAGGTACAGGATGATGATGAATAACGGTGTTGATTCGCTGCTGAGTGTTGGAACCATCTCCCGTGGATGCCATCAGTTCAGTAGGTTGACGTATTCTTCTTGCGATTGTTATTTCTCGGGCGTCAAAATACACGGGAATCCTACGAACTGATATGTATTTTTCAGTTCTTACAAATAATCTAAAATAGAAAATTACAATTGAATTGAAAAAATAAATTACAACTGAAAATAAATTAAAACTTAAAAAACAAAACGGAAAGATTAAAGCCGAGGCGAGTAAACTCTTTCCGCAAGAAGAATACGCTCTGTGTGTTGCTAACGGTTCAGGCGTAACTTCCCCAAAGATACAACGGCAAACGTTTCTAAACCTGTAGCACACCAGATTTACAAGCTTCGGCGAACTGGAATGGAGTCGAGAATTGAGCACTTAAAAATAAGAATAAAAATATCACTCCGATAATTTTTTCCTCTATTTTTATCCCTCAAATATTCTTTTGGACTGAATATTTTTCTCTCTCTCTCTCTTTCCTTTCTTTCTCCTTTTCTTTCTTCTCTTTTTTCTCTCCTTTTCTTGTGCATTTTTCCTTCTGCCGAGCCCCTCTATTTATACTGAAAGCCGAAGCCTTGTTGCCAACAAATTGCAATTAAAATATATATAAATATATATATATATATATATATATATATATTTAATTCAATTTTTATCTATATCACTTCTCAATATTGATAAATTCAAATTTTATCTATATCACACTTCTCAATATGTATCAATAATTTACATTTCTATCCACCCATTCTTTTTATGCCTGTAAATACACCACGATTTTACAAATCTCTTGCACAAAAAAAAAATAAAAATT